ATCGAACTCCCCACCCTGAGGGTGCAAGCCTAGCAGTGTCCATCTTTTGCCAACTTGGATGTGCCCCGGGGGGCAATTTGAATTTAAATATTGATGTGATGGATAACGGTCATATTTTTCATTTTAATGAGATAATAATGTAGATTAAACGGGGGCTAAATATACTGAAATAATAATTGTCAAAACAAAGATCCATCAATAACAATGCAATGAGTGTTCAGCTTCCTCACATGAAGAAGCCGCGTGAGTGGGCTTCACTTGCCACAGCGTCAACTTCATCAGAGCTTTAAATGGCTCAAAAAGATTCGTTAGGTGTCATTTGATAATTATTAAGAATAAAATTACTTAATGATTAACGCGATTGAGACATATTTTCTAACTATTATCATATTTCTAATTGAAAATTTAATAACTTAATTATTAACGTGATTCAGAATTATTTTTAACCCTCGATAAAATTTTATTATTCAAATTACAGTTAGTATTTTGAATAATGTTATTCGTAGTCGCTTACTGCGACGATCGCCCTACCTAATATACATATGATTTATGATTATTTGATACATTAATGTTCTAGTTTTTTATTTACTCATACATCAAATAATCATCTGTGTATGTCACGTAGGATGATGTCATAGTTTTCGACTGTAAATAATATTATTTCTAACACTTTAGTAGACAGATTTAGTGTTCGTTGACACCCATTAATTTTTTTATGATTTGCTATAATATCATTTTCAACCACACATTCACAATAAAATATTCTACATGTACAACAAAAACTTTTTCCTATCTTTTAACAACACATTCTCCTAAAAATACTATTTCAAACTCAAATTTTTCATAATTAATGAGAATCAAACTGGCTCTTCGATCGACTTTTACTATAAAAAAAGACATTAATTGGGACCACTACAATTCCTCGAAGGTAAATGGACAGTCTAGATAAAAGTGCTAAATCTATTAATGGCCACCTAACTTTATATTTGGTGTCACTATGGCAATTAAATTTGATTTTGTTTCGTTATAGCCATCCAATTTTATACTTAATGTCACAGTGACCGTCCAATTTGATTTTATTTCATCACGACAACCCAATTTCATATTACGTTTCACCATAATTACCCAAATTCATATAACGTTTCATCATGGCCAACAAATCTTTTTTTTAACACATTTGATTAATTTTAAAGCATTAAAACTGTAACTTTGCATTATTTATATAAAATAAATTTTAAAAAATAAAAAATAAAAACTTATTTTAGGAAAAAAAAATCTTATTTAAAAAAAGTTACTAAAAAAAATAAAATGAAATAAAATAAAAACATATTTTTAAAAAGATGTTACTTCTAACTAAAAGTAAAAGAGGG